CCCCCCCTCCTTTTTTTTTTTTTTTTTTTTTTTTGTACCTGGGATGAAGCTCAGGACTTTGATCTTTGAGGCAGGTAGGAGCAGCAATGAGCTAAATCCCCAGCCCATATTTTATCAATTTTTAAAGGATATATTTATTTTGTGCTAGCATTCACTAATTAAACTAAATGTATTAACTGGGCATAGTGGTAGACACAATTCCAAAAGTCTGGGAGGTTGAAGCAAGAGGATAGCAAGTACTATCCCATCCTAAGCAACTTTACTTGGTGAGATCCTACCTCAAAATAGAAAATGGGCACAAGATACTTTTCAGTGTAAAGGCCATAAGTTCAATCATCAAAACACTCCCCCCAAAACTGAAAATATTTACAGATTAAGGCTTAAGAAATACCAATAGAGTACATCATTTTACCCCAAATATAGCATTAAACAAGGCTACAGTATTTTAAAAATATTTCATTAATGTACCATCAAAATCCTGTGTTCTCTTTATCTGAGTAGATGGGTTTATATGTGTGGAAGAGATTTGAGGAGCTAAAACGTAAAATGTTGTCCAAATGCCATGTTACAACTAATCATATCCATAAAATAGTATCATATTATCTTATAGCACTGTACAATATTATATTTTGTCCTATACTGGTGACTTGCCATTTTTAAAAGCCAAAATATCCTCAGAAATAATTCTTTTTGTTGGGCTTTCGCTGTCAATTTACACTTTTTCTTGGTTGAACAACTATCTAAAACCCACTTGTCAGTACTTTGCAAAGGATGCCTTCAGAAGACAAAGATGTAACTTCTCAAAGCTGCTTCTGGGATTGAATTTTAACTTGTTATTCAATCCCTGCATGTTACTTGTTTTCTTTTTCAAGGAGCTCTGGGAAGCAGACCATAATCGTCATGAAGATTGAACTATATATGGTGGGTAGACTAGTCATTCATCAGGTATTCAGTAATAACAGGGTCTGAGTTTAACAATGGGATTAGTAAGGTTCCAATCCACATTTCTCATTTATTTTTCTCTTATGATCCATGTTGGGATTCCAGTTCTAACTAGTATATAATAATTTTGTCTGAAACATATGCCAAAAAAACTGAGAATAGTACTATAGACAAAGTCTTCAAAGTAAACTGCACCTCTGCTTCCAGGGACTTTATGGACATCATATGTGCGAAATCTGAAAATTAATCATTTCTCATCTCTGTACCCTGGGTATGTTTTGGACTTCTCTCACTTCCCAAATATCCTGAATTCAAGGTATCTCAGCCCATGGAACAGTAAGTAGTCCAGAGGAAAGAGAAGCAACAGCCCCGCCCCCAACCCTTGGGAGCAGAAAGGAAAAGAATTTTCCTAAGGAGTTATTTTAAAACTCAGGTGCCGCGGAAGGAAATAAAACCATGGTTGCTTAGACTGATGTCCCAGGGGTTCAAATTTTAACCACAGATGGGCAATAATTTGTGTGGCATTAAACTAAACCAGTTTGATGAACTCAAATGCCCTCGGCTCAATAGGCAGGACTCTCCGAGGAGCTTGTGTTACTTCCCTCACTTAAGTGCAGATTTGTAATAAAAATCTTAGTGCTAGTGACATATTTTTTGGATATATTAGAACCTAACCACTTGGAGAATCATGTTTGAGAGGTCAGAAAACTCTACAGTTAAAGATGAGTTTATAATTTACGAAGAAAATAGAAAGTTTTGTTTCTCTGAGTTGAAATTTGCCGAGCACCGCAGGAAATATTACTAGTTTTTGGCAAAAGACTCAGTGCTTTCCTCATTATTTCGGACCTGCATGAAGCCTGAGACTTCAGGGATCACTATCTGAGAAAAATCAAGCAATTCAATGTAGAGAATTTTTATATTTTTGGCTTTTTTTGAGGTGTAACAAACACAACTCGGGATCGGAGAGGACACTCTGAGGCTGCCAGCGAGGCGGGCTGGACAGCGCACCAATCACGGCTCAGCTCCGCCCTATATAAGCGGGCGGGCGCAGCGGCGCGGCCGAGTCCCGGCCAGTGCCTCTGTTTCTGGATCGAGTTTTTTTCCCCACGACGCCTTCAGCATGTCCGAGACTGCTCCCGCCGCGCCCGCTGCTCCGGCTCCCGCCGAGAAGACGCCGGTGAAAAAGAAGGCGCGCAAACCAGCAGGTGCTGCGAAGCGCAAGACGACCGGCCCCCCGGTGTCCGAGCTGATCACCAAGGCCGTGGCCGCCTCCAAGGAGCGCAGCGGGGTGTCGCTGGCCGCGCTCAAGAAGGCGCTTGCTGCCGCCGGCTACGACGTGGAGAAGAACAACAGCCGCATCAAGCTGGGTCTCAAGAGCCTGGTGAGCAAAGGCACCCTGGTGCAGACCAAGGGAACCGGCGCCTCCGGCTCTTTCAAGCTCAACAAGAAGGCGGCTTCTGGGGAGGCCAAGCCCAAGGCCAAGAAGGCGGGCGCGGCCAAGTCCAAGAAGTCCGCGGGAGCCGCGAAAAAGCCCAAGAAGGCTGCGGGCGCGGCCACCCCCAAGAAGAGCGCCAAGAAGACCCCCAAGAAGGCGAAGAAGCCTGCCGCGGCTGCCAGCGCCAAAAAGGCAAAGAGCCCCAAGAAAGCGAAAGCGGCCAAGGCCAAGAAGGCGCCCAAGAGTCCAGCGAAGGCCAAAGCGGTGAAGCCCAAGACGGCCAAGCCAAAGACCACCAAGCCCAAGACTGCCAAGCCCAAGAAGGCGGCAGCCAAAAAGAAATAGAAAGTTCCTTTGGCCAGCTGCTAAGAAGTTCCACACAACCCAAAGGCTCTTTTCAGAGCCACCCACTGATTCAAGGAAAGAGCTGTTGCACACTTGGGGGCGTGGTCACGCGTGCGCGGTGGCTCCCAGAGGGCGGGGGTCGCCAGCCGTGGACTTTGCCAAATCCAGGCGTGCTGCGTAGTCTAAGTACAGTGTGGCAGCCGGGGAAAATACGAAGGTATCCGCATTGAGGTTGAAGTTTGCAGAGTACCAGAGTAAGGCCTAAAAGGGAATTATTTCCATTACAAGGTAGGAAGTAGATGCTCAGGTTTTAACATTGTGAGGCGTCGACTTCCTGTCAAATAATCGATACTTCGGGTACAAAATTTATGGAGAAAATGTAAACGTAGGTTCAACTCGGTAAGGCATACAAACTCGGGATAAGCTGTAGAGTTTCAGGTCAGAAGCTTGCGGGCCTCTACCAAATTCTCTTTGGCAACCACAGGTTTCACTCAACGACAAATATAAAATATGTTCCATGAATAAGTGCACTGTGCTCTAAGAGAACTAAAGTGGCAATGCTTGGAGCGGGCTATTTATAGCAGCTTTGGGGAGCCTAGTTAGAGCGTTCTGATTGGGCAAAAGTGAAATAAAATAGCCAATGAAAAAGTAGACCTTTAAATGTCGTTCACATTCGCATTTGTGACGACACACTAAAATTAATCCAATCATAGACGAAATCTTACTAACCTCATTTGAATACCGCATCTATAAATGAATGTGGCCTAGCTGGCGGGGTCGGGTGGGGGGGCAGTGTGTTATTTCACCAAGTATAAATTTTAGTGTAGTAATTCCTCTTTTCAATCGCTAAAATGCCTGAACCTAACAAGGTCGCCCCCTCCCCGAAGAAGGACTCCAAGAAGGCGGTGACCAAGGCGCAGAAGGACGGCAAGAAGCGCAAGCGCAGCCGCAAGGAGAGCTACTCGGTCTACGTGTACAAGGTGCTCAAGCAGGTCCACCCGGACACGGGCATCTCGTCCAAGGCCATGGGCATCATGAACTCCTTCGTCAACGACATCTTCGAGCGCATCGCCGGCGAGGCGTCTCGCCTGGCGCATTACAACAAGCGCTCGACCATCACGTCGCGGGAGATCCAGACGGCCGTGCGCCTGCTGCTGCCCGGGGAGCTGGCCAAGCACGCCGTGTCCGAGGGCACCAAGGCCGTCACCAAGTACACCAGCTCCAAATGAACTTGGCAAGTAAACTGTCTTTACACCTAACTCCAAAGGCTCTTTTAAGAGCTATGCATGATTTCTACCAAAGAGTTGTAATTCTTTCAGTCGGAGGAATGTTTCTTTCTTCAGTGTATACTTAAAATTTAGTTACCAACTTTTAATGTTTCATCATTCCTGCATAGAAAATACTTGAAAAGTACAGGAGATAGCTGTCGGAAGTTGTCTGCTCCCTACGGGCCCATGCAAGTTCTGTGTTACTCTATGACATAACTACATAACCAGTATGACCTGCAAATGGCATTCTAAATTTGCAGCTCATCGTGTCATTATACAGGTCTCAAATTTTTCTTGATCTCTGACTCAGGGGCTACTGTTTGCCCTGAGCATGAAAGAACGTGCCCTGGCAACTTCCATCTTCTCAGAGATGGCATTTTCTTTTACTTTTTTCGTCTTTACCATTTAGATGTGTGATATTAAAATAGCTGAAGACAATGTGAGATTTCACTGCAATATGAAAAGCTTTCCTGCAGTGCTTGCTTTGCTGCCCAGCCCTCCAGGCAAGTCGCCAATGGATAAAGGACCAGGCAGAGGCAGTTATTTTGTATTTGATGGGCCTGAAAAGAGAAAGGAAGCAGTCTTTGAGACACCAGCAAGTTGTCTGTTACTGTAGCTTTCTCAGAAAGTTACTTAGTTTTACCTCACAAATCCCCACAATTTTTTTTTTCAGTGGAGTAAATCCACACTCCTTGAAACAAGGAAATATGAGTAGAAAGAGCAATTTAGAGAAAAACAAATGTAAACAACACTGAGATTCCATCTTACTCTACAAAGCGGCTATCATCAAGAAATCAGAAAGTAAATGTTGGGGAGTCTGGGAGCCCGCAACTTTTTCATCGTTGGTGAGAGACTAAATTAATACAACCATTATGGAATTCAGTATGCATATTCCTCCAAATACTAAATTTTATAGGACCCAGCTATTTCCACCAAAAAACATGTGTCACATATATCATATTACAGTGATACATGCATATCTGGTTTTTTAGCAACACAATTCACAGCTGCTAAATCTTGGATGCAGCCTGTATGTCCATGAACATAGGAATGCAAAAAGAAAATGTATTTATACACAATGGAGTACTACTTTGCCATAATGAAGGATAAACTTGAATAAATGAGTGTTTCTTAAGTCCTTTAAGTAAAATAAATTAGACACACAAGCTAAAATATCCTATGGTTTCTCTTATATGAAAAGTCCAAAATATAAATAAAGAGCAAAATTATAAATAAGAAAAAAAGATGGAGGGAAGGATGGTAGGAGAAAATGTAGATGGGAGGGAAGGGAGGGGAAAGGAACATAAGAATTAAGATATCATATATACATGTATTAATCGCTTATGAGGAATGTAATCATTATGTACTGAAAATGTGTACTAATAAAAATTTGCAAAGAAAGATGAAAAAGTAAATGACAATGAAAAGAAGAAATAAAAGACAATACCTTTCTAAACAATAGATCTTCAAGAATTCCAAAAACATAGACTGATTCACCATTGTCTACAATGAACAATAAAATCCCCACACGTCTCTGATGGACATTTCAATGCCACTGGAAAGGATAAACTGCCTCTGTACAATATTAGCTGGAGCGGGACCCTTTTCTAAAAGGACTAAATTGCCGGGCATGGTGGCACATGCCTGTAATCCCAGCACTTGGGAGGCTGAGGCAGGAGGATCGCTGTGAGTTTGACACCAGCCTAAGCTACATAGTGAGTTCCAGGTCAGCCTCAACTACATAGCGAGACCCTGTCTCAAAAAACCAAAATAAATTAATTAGTTAAAAGGACTAAATTAATATAAGAAATCTTAAACTGCATTCTGTAATCAAATCTCTGCTGTATGACTGTTGTTGGAATATTCAACAAATTGGTTTGAAATTTTCAAATTAGTTTGAAAAGAAAAATAATAAACTAGAAAAATAAATAATAAAAATTAAAATCTTTTAAAGTAGGAGGTAGTATAAAATATGAGAAAATAATAGTCTTAAACTAAGTTAATGAGATTTTAATTTGGGTCAAAAGGTACAAGCTAGCAATAGTTTATTTGTTGTATAGAATTTAAGAGTGATGACTGAATAAAAGTAAAATAAAAGTACAATTTTGAAAATAGAACACAATAGGGTAAAAGTTGGCCTCAGAAATGTAAAAGAAGAAACAAACACAACTTATTCATGAAGAAATATAAGGAGATTCTTGGAGTGTGTACAAGAACACTAGTAAATTACAGCAGAACTATATTCACAGTTCTTATTTATAAATCAGTTTATTCAAGAAATTATCACTGAATATCCTTGGACTGGGCACCAATGTTGCCATTGAAGATAAAGGAGGGAGGGGTAATAAGACTACGATCCTTGACCTTCAAGCAAGAAGCAATAGAGTAATAATGCCATTGTGACAGATCACGAAGTTAAGGAACAGTCTCGAATACTACACTTTAATCTGACACCAAATGCAAAGCAAAGTTTAGGGTCTCCAGAGCCACCCTCAGGTTTGATAATTTACTAAGATTCACAGAACTTAGTAAATGCCATTATACTTAAAGTTACAGGAACAGATACAGATTAAAATCAGCTGAGAGAAGAGAAAAAGAACAAAATGTAAGCAAGTTCCAAATTCATTATCATCTCTAAGCTATAAGAGAAGGCAACATGGTACAATGTAGAGTATTGACAGCCAGGAAAACTGCTGCAGCTTTGATGTCTACACTCTTTACTAGGCCTCTATTACATGAAAAACTGCTTATGTGGCTGGCCTTTCACCTTCAGTCTCTCCAGAGGGCAGGCAGACGAGGCATGGCCCAAGCCCCCTCCAGAGATCATCTTATTATATTATCTGGAGCAGCCCTGGCAAACAAAATCACTATCAACAGGCAGGACATCCCTAAGGGAGATCCCTTCCTAGCCAAGGACAAAAGCCATACTGCTCCATTGGATAATGTGAATTCTTTACAAATAGTCACAAGTCAAACAGTGTTCTCAATTCTTAAATAGACCATTAACCATAATAAACTCTACACCTATTTGGTTTTTGATTGTTCTATCCCATCATTGTATTGTTTTTCCTTTTGTTTCATTTTGTTTTACAGTATGGGAGACTGAACCTAGAGCCTTTGCACTGAACTACATTCCCAGGCCTTTATTTTTATTTCTTTATTAAATTTGGAGTCACAGTCTCCATAAGTCCCTAAGGTACCAAGGCTGGACTCAAACATGAAAATCTTTCTACTACATCCCCCTAGACTGCTAGGATTACAGAAGTACGTCACCACACCCAACATATCATGGATATTTATTTCAACTATAGACCCAGAAATTATGACAAAATTTCTAATTGAATTTTTTTTGTTTTGTTTTGTTTTTAGTTTACTCAAATGAGCACCTTCAACAGTATCCTCCTTTATTTGCACTCCCTAACTCTCCTTCTAGAAAAGAAGATTCAGAGACTAGAGATCAATTTTGGAGAAAGTTTGGAGATCTTGAACTTCATTTTGGTAGCTCAGGCATTCTGTGCTGTATAGAAAAAGAGCTCCCTTTCTTCATATGATCAGCAGCACTCCACTGCCTTTTTCTTTCATAAACCATGAAGTTTGCCATATTGTTAGGGAGCAGGAATTGTAGAAAAATAGATAAATTCACAAGCGCAAGGACCCGAGTTCGATCCCTGGTACAAAAAAAAAAAAAAAGATGAGATTTATGTTAGAATTGTGTTTGAATTTTAATAATGTTAAACTATGCTTCAGACACAAAACAGTGTTTTATAAACATAACTGCAGACTTGTGGCTATTTTTTTTTTAATCAGCATGAAGGGAAAATGAGGCATATATGGAAAAGACAAATTAGAACTTTGGAAAAGATCTTAGAGACCCAAAGAAAATCCTGCAACAAAATATGGAAGGAGAAATGCTGAGAGAAAAGGGGAGGATGGATAAATTGATCTTATCATGTATTTGATGTCTTGGCTGTGTATAATACTTGTCACATAGTAACAGGAAAACTTCATATTTCTTGGGTTTCAAGTTGAGAGAGGATTGGTTAAAATGTCTCATCTGGAAGGCTTTCACTGAGCATCATATGTAAAATCACATCTTTCCCTCCCCATTCTTCTTCATTATAGTTAGCATTAATAAACAACTTGTTTATTGTTTGCCTCGGTTTCCCATCCTTAAGGCTGTGCTACAGGAGTAGGGACTTCATCTTTCTCGCTGGCTCCCAAATGCTTAAGGGTTTTCTATGCATACAGAAGATGCTCAAAAGCTGCTCACAGAGAGATACAACTATTCAAAGTGCATATATGTCTATAGCAAGAGGGGTAGAAGACAAGGGTGAGGTGTCACAATGGTTCCATTGAGTAAGTAACCCAGAAAAAGGATCTTACTTCCCTCATCTATACAAAGAGGATAATAATAATACATCACTTCTTAGGATTGTTTCAAGCCTTGAGATAATTTTTTTTGGTGGGGGGTACTGGGGATTGAACTCAGGTCCTTGCATTCGCAAGGCAGGCCACCGAACCACTGAGCTAAATCCCCAGTCCTTGAGATAATTTACATAAAGCTTTTAAAGTAATGATAGACATCTAGTAAGCACTTAGCAAGTGTTAGCAATTACTATATTTTCCTTTACACTTTGTTGAAATTATAGTTGGTGGCCAAATCTCTTCACCTCAAAAACTAAGGGCATGGGCCAGGTATTTAGCTGAGTAGTTTTGCCACCTACCTTGCATGTGCAAGGGCCTGAGTTTGATTCCAGGTACAAAAAAGAAAAAAAAAAAAAAAGACTGAAGGACAAGGTTGTCAGATTTTGAACTGTTTGAATGCCACTCAAAAAGGATTCTTGACGGAATTCAAAGTAAAATAATCATAATATTTAAAGTCCCTTGAGCTATTACTATTTGTTAATGCTAATAATGAGTAAGGTGAAGGTAACATTGCCATGGAGATTTCCTAGTAGATCATTATATAAGCACATGTAAAAACTACCCTCTTCTTTATATAGGAAATATTACTTCTGATGATAAAATGACACCTAAAACATTCTTTTTATCTCTTGAATCAGGGCACAGATATGTATGAATGCAGAGAAGAAATTACTTCATAAAGTAAGTGAAAATATGAATCTGTCCATAGACTTTATGAAGTATGAAGTCTCATCTGCATAAGAATGATTGAATAGTGTGCATATCCTACCCAAATTTAATCTATCCTGGTTTGCTGCATATTAATTAATCAAAAGCATGATTGCCTAAGCACAAGAGATTAAATAAAATGTTATAGCTTTTTCATTTTTTGCTTGATTTACAAAACTAGAATTGACTTTATTATGATGATTGTTATTATTACTACTATTATTCGACAGATCTTTCTAACTTGCTCTGGTTGAGCTCAAACTTGAAACCTTTCTGCCTCGGCCTCCCAAGTGCTAAGATTACAGGCATGCATCAATATACTTGTTAGAATTTTTATTTCTTTTACAGGCCTAGTTACCAGGAATTGATTATTTACCATGGACTAACCTTTCCACAAGAAGTTTGCACGAGAAAATCTATAAATTAAACATGATTGATAAAATGTGTGAGTTAGAATTCTGGTTTCATTGTTAATTGGAGTCTTTCTTCTAGTCTTCTCTTTCTCAGTATCTGTCTATCCATTTATGCAAGCACCCATCCATCCATCCATCTACCTATCTTATCTTCATATTATTTTCTGGAGTCAAGGCCTAAATGAGTTAGGCCCTAAGCACTGTTGGAGCTCTGGTAATGATTCTGATGGTAAAACAGCTTAGCTTAACCAAGCCACCATTTTGAGGTCACTTCCACTATCTGAAGTAAAGGAAGTATTACTTCAATGCAGTCTCAAACTTGAGTGTACACCAAATTTTCTAAAAGATTTTTATAAACACATTGCTGGGCACCACCTATATAGTTTCTGACTCATTACGTGTGGTGCAGGACCTGATAGTTTGTATTTATAAATTACCTCGGTGGTACCAATCCTGCTGGTCTGGAAACACGTGAATAGGACATGAAATTATCTTTAACTGCCAATACCAAGTAACCACACAAACCCCAAAAGTTTGCAGCTTTAAACTGGACAAAAGAGGTCCTGAGAAAGTCAAGCAGTCCTCCTCCTAGTGCGATTAAACAGGCGTAGGTTTAACAACAAACGTTTGAGCCCGCCTCACCGGCTCTCCGATAGGGCTAACTTGCTACGCCCCCTCACGCCGCTTCGCTGATAGGACTGCATTACCACGCCTCCCCACGTCGACGCTCTGATAGGACCATCCTGCTACGCCCCCTCACGCCGTTCCCTGCGTGGCCCTTGCGCTTCCTCCCGTCGGCGGCGCTCCGGGGGGCCGTCTCACCACGCCCCTTCACGCTGTGACGAGGGAGCCAATCTTTACGTTCTCGTCACGTTGCGCCACTCTGGCTCCTCTATAGCGCAGCAAGAATCTTTAGATGCGACGTTGCCTACCGGCGCCCCCTGGTGATTCAACACCCTCGCCTACTAAATCCCTGGGTTAGGCAGCACAGGAGTGTATGAACACCAGTGGGCCAATGTGCCCCTCAAACCAGGGAACCGTTCGAAAGCAGGACAACAACGTTCTGTCAGTCTGCTCCACTCCTAGCTTTTCTCTGTCGGTTGAAACCTTTGAGGATTCAAACAACTTGCAGCTGCAGCCTCCCTGCACGTCCTTGCTCTCTGGGGAGCTGAGTGAGTCTTCTTTCTGTAGGAGCTGGGGACACCCCTCATAATTTCAGGGATACCTGTTGCTGTGGGCACTCGGTGTGAGGATTGAGTTGTGTGTAGATAGTTATTTCCTCATTGAATACCTACATATGCACTTAATTCCATCTTCAGGCGCAATGCATAAGAAACACATCATTTTAGAAGCTTACAAAAATAATTCCTTATGCAATGGTAAGAAAAAAAATGTTTAAGTAAAAAATGTTTTAGTGTATATTAATCTTTATATTGTTTTAATAGAGGAAGGGGCCCACGAAGACAAAAGTGCTTTGGGTGCATATGGCAGACCACTCTTTGGGGTAACTTTTAATTCCTTTTTTTTTTTTTTTTTTTTCCAAATAGAGGAAGGGGCCCACGAAGACAAAAGTGCTTTGGGTGCATATGGCAGACCACTCTTTGGGGTAACTTTTAATTCCTTTTTTTTTTTTTTTTTTGTACCAGGAATCAAACTCGGGACCTTCCTCTAAATTCACTGAGCTAAATCCTCAGTCCCATAATTTCTTTATTAGGTTGGTTGTATTTTACTGAATAATCAAAAATTATTTCCAGGCCGTGTATGGTGCTAAATGAATAAACACTTATAGAATAAATAAACCTGTGTAGTTCTAGAGAGCTTTAGTTGCAGATGCTTCTCACTTGAAGGGGATTATTGTCTCTGGCCACACTACTTGGAAGACTGGCTCACCTACCAAAGGATTTGTTTGCCTTTTAAGACACTAGGTGGCAAAGAACATGGATCACTTTAATTTGAGAATACTTTTATTGAAAACCTGAGAGTCTCAGCAGTCTAGATTTAAGCTTTAGAGTTAACTCCCTCTGCTCTGTGGGTCACTTTCTCATGATTGAGACAAAACACCACCTAACATTAAAGGAGGAAAGGTTTATTTTAGTTCAGTTTGTAGAGGTTTCAGCTCATAGTTGGCTGGCTCCAAGGCAAGGGTAGCATGGCAGAGGGACAGCACAGAGAAACAGTTCATGGTGGACAGAGGCAGAAAAGTGGCAAAGTATCAAGGAAATCTTCAGCAGCCACGTCTCTTTCCCTTTTACCTCTTCCAGGCTACCTGTAGAGTGAGTAGCACTCACACCCAGATGGGCCTTCCCATTATCCACACCCAGAACTACACTAAACCAATCAGTGGAGTAGTTTAGTAATCACACAGTTAAGTCCAGCCACCTCTGAAAAGGCTCACATTTAACTGCCAGAAGCTTTAGAGGGACATCTAGACACAAGCACCCCCTCTTTGAAGACTTGCAGAGACAGATTTTAGTTCTAAGAACTGTTGCTATGCTTTTTTTCTCGTATGTGATGCATTATCAGAGATTCCTTCTTTTAGGCTAGGTAACTAATTATGTTTAAGACCCAATTCTCTTTCCCAAAGGGCATACATTAATTCCCAAAGCTCAGAATCTCCTAATAACAGTATTTGGCTAACAGAACTGGAGCTGTGATGTTTACTATCCTAGTTTCACCCCCTAAGTTTTTATTGTGAGGGAATGTCAGAGAATTTTCCATTTTGTTTCTTGTTAGTTGGGCAGAGATGTAGTAATGAGTATCTTATACTTCTCTACTCACTAGGTGTTTTGCTTTATAATAGCTTTGAAAAAAACCTTATTTTCCTCATTGCAAGTAAAACCTCAGTTTCCCTATTTGACCCCACTTTCAGTTTATCTGCTATTAATATTGCTGCATTGGCATTCTCTCGGTAAATATTTTCTATATTTTTTCTTCATCTTTTTTATATTATTTTTAATTCCATGCACGGTTTTTCAGATTGATATATTTGTTAATATGTAATTAATATATTTTAGCAATTCTAATTTGAAATAAGCAACAAAGTTCAGTTGACTGAATACATTTTTTGTTTTATTTAAAAACAGAAATATCATAAAAATGTAAAATAGTGTACATATTCCAGTACTGATATGCTTTTCTGGGAATGGCAAAACATGAAGCTTTCATGAGATCAAAATCACACAGCTAAATATCACATAATATGCTATACTTAATATCACCTATTATTCTGAAGTTTCATTTTATGTATTCCTGAAAATATCAAATTTTTAATTTAGAGATAATATTTATGGGGAAAAAGTCTGTCAGAAAAGTATATTTATAAAAACACCAGCCAATTTTTGTCTTTAACAATCTTGGCATCTAGTTTCCCCTCGTTAGCTTATTATTGAATAATCACTACCACAGAGAGTTTAGAGCAAGATAAGCTTTGCCTGGACAACCAATTTTCATGGCATACAACATATATGACTGTAAAAATCTGATAGAGTTCAATAACTTTATATTACATTAAAATAAAACAAAATGTGTTTAATATTTTATTTGTAAACATCAGGCTCAGCAAGGTTTAAATGTGATGTTACTGATTGCAACTGACAGTACTGACCTTGATGTGATCTGAGTCCTGAGTTCCAGGAACATAGAAATGATTGAAGAAATCTCCCCACCTTTTTTCTGTTGTTCTGAAAATGGCTTACTGAGAGAAACTCATGGGACAAAAAAAAAATTTTAATGATTGTACTTGTTCACCTATTACAATTTAACATGCCCAAACAAAGACCCTCCAAATTCTTCATAAACATTTAGGTAAATTGCTTTTCCCTACCATTAATCTTTTGTTTTGTTTTCTACTTTTCTAAGAGAGGATCTCATTATGAAATCCAGGCTGACCTCCAGTTTACTTTGATCCTCCTACCTCTGCCTCCCTTAAACTCTGGGATTATGGGCGGGGCACACCATTACTGGGCTCTGCAAAAAAATGCTTCTTAACCAAAAGTTAGTTAAATTATCCCCTTCTTTTAGGCTCCTGAACTTTTTCCCACCCTCACTCAGCCTGAGCCCAAATATCCTGCTTAAGAGGCACTGCTGAGACGTGAGTAGATTTGGGGTGAAACATTTTTTGATCTGTTATCCATCCAATCCCGTGACCTTTTCATCCCACTTCTCCACACCCAAAGCCTTCTAGTCCTTTTCACTCTTTCCTATAAAAGGACAATCCTGTCTTGCCTCAACCCTGTGAAATTTGCAAATCTTGCACAATAGTCACTCTCCCCATAATATAACAGTGCTTTACTCATCAACAATCTTTTTTAAGAAAATCTCTCCCCTTCCTAAGGTTAAATTTGTTTCTTGCCATGACATTCTGACTATTCCGTCTGCTTTGTATACTTTTTATTTCACAGAATTTATGTAGGTATGAGAATATACCTATTCTCACTGCTCTTTAGTGTCATGTAAAAGCCAAGTTCATTCATTCATGATGCAAACATTTAAATTAGTTGCCTGTTCCTTTGGATTCATGATTTAAATCCTATAAACACAATTGCTATAAAGATTGACTACAGTTAAAAATTAAGAGAACAAAAAGTGGTTATGGTTGGATATGGTGGTCCACATCTGTAACCCAGCTACTTCAGAGGCTGGGGAATAGGCCACAAAGAAGCTCAAGTCCACTTGGGCAATTTAGCAAGACTCCACCTCAAAATTAAAATGAAAAGGGGTCAGCTTAGTATTAGAGTACTTGCTTAGCAGGAATGAGGCCCTGGATTAAATCCAAATGACAATTATAGGGCAAATAATAAAGCTTTATTGATTTAGTGCTCTAATTTTTTTAGTCCTATTTCTCTGAAATTGAAAACAAGTCAGTCTAAAAAGGTCTTGTGTTCCCAGACAGTGTGTCTTAACAATAATCATATACATTTATATAAGTAAATGTCCTTTTTAAAGTGAAATCTCATGGAGAAGCTA